GTGCGATCTATGGCATGGCCCAGACGACAGTTGACAGGAACCTGGTCGCAGAATTGTCCTCAGTCTTCTTGGACAGCCTCTTCAGCACAGACACTGTGACTCCAAGCAGCCAGATGAATGGTTCTCCGAAACCCCGCTGAGCCTGGACGCTCTGTGACCCCGAGGGGCTCCTGGCCTGCAGAGGTTCCCGGGGTGTGGAACAGGCCACACACAGGTTCAGCATTTGGTCTTGCTCCGTAGAGCACGACGAGACAGACCATGAGACGGCTTGATCCTCAGGATTCTTGTTCCTCCTCTCATCCTTTGTGGTTTTTTAATATGGAGACCCCGAAGAAGTCCAATACCTAATTATTTTGCCCTGTTCCCAGATGTTACCCTAGGAATTGTTTTAGCCATTTCCTTTTCTAACCTTCTTGCTTTCAACTTGACTTAATCCTTGTGTGGCAGCTGTGACCTGTCCTGAGTCCTTAGGGAGGCTGGAGTATCGTTTTTGTGCTAAAGAAGGTTTTCTTTCTTCTCTCAGGCAGATTGGTGAAGCTGATTGGACAGGAAGCGTCCTTGTAACAGGGTGGGAGTTAGGTACCCTCTAAGCACGAGGCCTCCTCAGCCTCCTCTCTGAGTAGGTGAGTTGTCTCATAGAGTCATGTTTAGTGCAACTCAGTTTCTCTTTCTGAGACACGGATGGATAGGCCGCTGTTCCTGTTTTGCAGGATTGGAATGGCCAAGTATATGTATGTGCTCAGTGACTTAAGGCAGGCTTTGGTGCGGCCCTCTTCTGTGGTTCCCCCTTGGATATTTGGTTGCCACCGTCTTTGGAGATTTGTGTGCGAAATTGTCCTCACATTGGTGTGCTGTTCCCCTGGATCAGGAAGGGAACGTGGTTTCCAGAGAGCGCAGGACCTTTGGGCCCTGGTCCCGCTCTGTGTTGGCCGTGTTTAGAGCACACCAGAGCCCTGTCCTGGGCTGCTGCTGACCAGAAACCAGAGCCTTTACTAAAGTTCTCTGAGTGTCACATTCAAATAGATGTCTCCACCCCGGAGTGGTCCTCCGCTCCCGCACTGCCATGAGCCATCATGCATGAGAATAGGTCTGCTTGAAGGAACCGCTCAGAGCACCTTCACAAGTTGCCTTGACTTACCTGAGGTGGGTGCGAGGAGGGTGTGAGAGAGCCTTCCAGGCCAGGAACCTTCTCTCCCCATTCGTGCGTCCCTCCTGCCTCTTTCCGTATGTTCAGCTCCCAAAGGTACTGTGGCAGTTTACCCTCAGGTACTGGGCAGTTCTCAGCCCCAGCTAGCATGAGACAAACTTTGGAATAGGAAAGCATGATGGCAACTGTCAGTGGGGCCTGGGCCTGGGATTCCTCCATCAGACTAGTCGCTCAGGGTGGTGCAGGGACGGACCAATCCCTGCACCCACTCCCTCCCCTCTTTGCCCCTGTTCAGGGGCCTTGATCTAGGTGGAGCCACTGTCTTCCCCTGAAGATGACATACTGTGTGCCTTTTCCCTCAGCAGTGAGCAGTGCTGGGCTCCTCCTGACCCAGGCCCCAGGGGAAATGGGGCTGTCTGGAGATTTTTATTTGGGTGGGGGAGGCCTTTTGGGTAAGTCAGGAGAAAATCTCCTGTGTTCCATTCCCCTTCTCAGGGACTCCTGAACCATTCAACCTCTTCAGACTGCTGTCCTCTGGCCTCCCTCACTGGGGATGCTGCCGGGAGGGCCGAGATGACCAGACTCCCCCAGGCTCCCTAGTGGGTTTGTCTGAAGTGGTCTTTAGCACTGTACTTCCTCCACAATAACTGTGAGTCGCTGGCTGGGTCACTGCAGGGCTGATGTGTGCCTGTGTGTGTGTGTATGTGGGTGTGCATGTGCCTCCTGGGGTGGTCGGTTCCAGGAAAGGTTGTGTGTGTGTGTGTGTGTGTGTGTGTGTGTGTGTGTGTGTGTGTGTGTGTGTGTGTCTAAGATCCTTTGGACACAGGAGCTATGTTCCTTCCAGTCATTCAACTGGTGGGCACCTCCCGAGAGAGGAGCTGTGGCCAGAGCCGTGTGTGAATGCCCTTGGGTCTCCGGCACATTGATGGTGTTGGAGGAAGACCAGGGATCCAGAACCACCCAGCAGGCCCCACTGTGGCTTGCTGGCTGCTAAAATGGAGAAGCATGTGCCCCCTAGAACGTGCTGTTGCTTCCAGTGTCTGCAGACCCTTCCTCTGCTGTGACAGCACTGCTGGCCCCGGGGACAGTGGTGTTTTTCAAAGGGACCTACTGTAGACACTTTGATCACAAGCCTTAGTTTGACTCAACACTTGTGGGCTTTCCACTCTATGTGTATCTGTGCATAGGAACACCTAGTCTGGCAGAGGCAGGCCGAATGTCTCCACGAGGTCATATGCTAGCAGATGTCGCACTGGCCTCTGCAGAAGCTGTACTGTCTGGTTTCTATGTTGAGTAAGTAGTTGTGACTGTACTGCCTTGTCACTTTTAATATTACCAGTTTTATACTTGGAAAATGGTACTTGCCTCTTTTAAATCTTTTCTGTATTTAACCTCCTTCTTCCCAGCTCAGTGCTCCCTTCCTAATTGCAGCAATAATATCTTAAAAAAGCAATTCAGTAATTAAACGACTGAAATCTTAACTGGCTGGATTCATTTGCTTATTTGGGGGCAGGTGGGAGATCCCAGGTGGGGCGGTGGCCGCTGGTGGGAGAGCGCCCCCTCGTGGTGAAATGGTTGTGTGCGGCCACGGATATTAGGGCGCCTTCACAGGGGTGTCACCAGGGGCGGTGGGCATACCTGCTTGGAGGAGGGCTTTAGTTCCCCAGGGCATGGGCCCTGCCTTGTGTTTTCTTCCCTCTTCGCCATCTGCTTCTGCATATACCTTAGTGATGGATTGAGCCCTCCTGGGTGGTCTCTAGCCAGCTGGGCACTGGCTTCAAGCCTGCATCTGGTGTGGGAGCCAATGGAACCCTCCAAATCTCTCTGCACATGAAACTTCTGGGCATCTTGTTCCATTCCAAGTAAGAAGTCTTTCCAAAGGTCCCGGAGGCTGTCACTCAGGTAACCCAGCTTTTCAACCCATTTGTGGACTTTGCCAGAACCAAGGGATGCCATCTCTGCTAGTTTTCTGCTACATGACTCGAGTTTCCTGAGCACCTACTTGCTTTGGGGTTAATGCTAGAGGATGAAGCCAGGATATGCTTGGTTAGGAGGCCTGATCCCCCCATCCAAGAATTGGTGTTTGGATGCTTATTCCTGCTACTTACAGCCTTGAACCCTCTTGCCTCCTCTTTGGGTTCTTGGTAGCAATGAGTCACCTGTAGCCAGACCCAGCAATGGCAGAAGTATTGACAGAGGCCTGACTTGACAGCCACAACTACAGCTGGGGTGAGCAAAAGTCAGCTGTTTGAGAGCCTTCTCTTGAGTTGGAGTCTTTTTATTATGTTTTTTTTTTTAAAGATTTTATTTATTTGACAGAGTGCAGCTATGAGCACAAGCAGGGGGATGGCAGGCAAAGGGAGAGGGAGAAGCAGGGAGCCCAATGCAGGACTCGATCCCAGGACCCCAGGATCATGATCTGAGCTGTAAGCAGATGCTTAACCGACTAAGCCACCCAGGTGCCTCCCAGTTGGAGTCTTAATTGCCATCCTTTTCCTTGGGCTTTTTTTTTTTTTTTTTCACAATCTCCCCATAACATCTTCTCTATAGCTTCAGTTATTTGCATGAATTGTAGAACAAACATTTCTGAAAAAGTATTGCTTGTGTCTTTGGCCCACAGAAAAGTCCTTCATAGAACTGTAGCATCCTCTAGGTTGGTGTCTCTCAACTCCTGATCCAGGGTAAGCAGAGGCAGGAAGGTGACCTAACACGTGCTCCATAATTGCATGTCTGGTGGCTTCTGTCCCCTAATCTGCAGTCATCAGATCCAAGCTCACTTAGGAAAAGTGAAGTCAGAAGTGGAGCAGTGGGAGGGAGATCACCATCCGAATCTCCCTGGTTTTGATAGTACGTTTTCTGAGAACCTGCCGTTGACATAGGTGTTGTTAATCCTTAGATCCTGCTGGTACCTCTTACCAACCATATGCTTGTTTCTCAGACACCAACCTCTGCCTCTTTTCTGGCCCTTGTTGTAGGACCAACTCATCCAGGGTGACTGGGTTGTGATGTTGCTAAATGTCTGCTTCAAGAGATCCTGGCATTTGCAAGTCAGCTTAGAATGCAGGCAGCTTCAGGTTAGGGGATCATAGATGAGAAGCCATCGGGAGAAGGGCTTCCCCAAATCTTGCGTAATGGCATATGCAGAATGCCACCCATGTGGCGTGCACTGGAGAGAGAGGAGACTGTGCTCTCTGCCCCCCACTCCTCCCAGTTACAGCATATTAGTGGTAACAGTCTATCCGGGAGGTGGAGTCGTCTATCCTAGGTTGGAGGACTGATCTGTAGGAATCTGCTCTTTAACTGCTAGGATGGTAAATAATCTGTCACCTCCTAAGCTAGGATTTTTGTCCTCTCCCTTACACAGTAAGGGCAAGCAAACCTGAAGACTCTGGCTAAGTCTCTAAAAAACCGTAAGAAACTATCAGGATTAGAAGTCTCCCCATGGGATGTTGTGGACCAAGAAGGGCATAATGCAACCTCAGACCGCCACACTTTTATTCAGTCCTTTACTTTTATTCATGGCGCCCTTCAGCCATCCCTGCCTCAAGAATCCCATTCTGATCTTTAAGGCACAAGTCATTGAAGCCTCCAGACACCCCTGTCAATCGCCTCATGTTCCTTTAGCTCATTTCTTACCCTTGCCTCTAGCATCGACATCATTCATCCTGCCTAGTGTGGTTAACCGCGTCCTGCATAATTCCCTACATGATCATGAACTCCATGAAGACAGGGTAGTCAGGTCCCACTTTCCCCTCCAGTGCCTCAAACAGTGCCTTCCATGGAGTAAGGGCTTTAAATGCCTGTTGACTCCAATTTGGACTGACCTGTGGAAAAGAAGGTTCTAGAGCCCAAGGCCAAGTGACAGTTTTATTTGAGGCATAAAAGCACAGGTGTTTCTGTCACACACAAAGGGGTTGACTTTAGGTTCTGGTTTCTAAGATAAGACAGTGTGCATCTCAGACACTGCTTCCTGGGAAATGTGTTAGAAAGGGAGCAGGACATGGCCTGGCAAGGAGACCGTTACTGTGCCGGGAAAATGGTGCTGAGCGAGCGTGTGACAAAGCGCCGGGGATGAAGAGGGGTGTGGGGAAGAAAGGTCGGTGCTGGTGCTGGCATCTCCTTCCACAGCAGGGTCCACTTGGCAGTTCTAGCTGCAGCGACATCTCAGGGCTCCCGATTCCCTCCCTGGGTTCCCAGTTCAGTCACCCCCTTCACCTGAAGCATTCAGAGAGGAAGGCAGGGGCCTAGGTCATGGACACCGCTACTTGTTCGATGAAGCTGGCCAGGTTTATGTCCCGTTCTGAAAGGCCGGCACACTCGTGGGTGCTCAGGGTGATGTGGACCTGGAATCAAACCAGAGATACGGGCCCTGGCACCCCTCTCTCCCCTGGGGGCTCCTCCCAAGAGTCACTAGCAGCAGTGCAAACCCTCCCGTCTTGGCACGCAGTGGCTGTTGAATGGCCACGCTCATTCGCCCGCAGTCAATCCTGTCTGCTTGTCGAGCGTGGTTCCTACTTTTTGATTCTTAGCTCAGGTTCCTACTTCTTCATTCCCCCGCACCTCCAGGAGGATCTAACCCATTGGGAGCTATCAGCAGGGACCGTGGCCCCTCCCCACAGCCTTGCCTTCTGTGGGCTCCGCCTTCTTAACGTCTACTTATTGTCTACCCCGCCCGCAAATCCTCTGAGTGTTTCCACGTGCAATTCTTTAATTTGTAGTGAGCCTGACTGTTTGGCAGGGGTGTTCCTGATGATTCTAGAAAAGAGCCCAAAGGACCAGGAGGGGCAGACAGGCAAACTTTGGTTGGGAGGCCCTGAGGGAAGCCCAAGGAAGGGCCCTCAGAACTCAGGGCACGCACCGCTCACCTTGTTGTACACGTTAAACCATTCAGGATGGTGGTCCAGTTTCTCAGCCTGCAGGGCCACCCTCGTCATGAAGCCAAAAGCCTGCGGTGGTGAAGTGAGACGCAGGTTAGCACTCTGAGAGGGAGGCCGGTGGTGCAGAGCCTAGGTGCGGGAGCCGGACTGGCTCCCCACAAGACCCTTCCAGCTTCAGTCACCCCCTAGCACCCCATGGCTGGTTCTGCACTGCAGTTCAAGGTGGCCCTTCAGTAGGAGGAATGTCTTGTTCTAGGATCCTGCCTTACGGTGGAAACACCGCAGAGATGTTGAGTCTTGGCCAGTTTTTGGTTATCTGCTAAAATGTACCTCTGTATCCTACTTGACCCATCTCCTCTGAGGATCGTTTCTAAGAGTTCCAGGTATATGGAGAACCCAGGTCCCAGCTCCCCAGTCCCCAGGGGTGACACTCCAAGTCAACCTGACTAGGGTAGTGTCTGAGGGTCTTGGGTAGCAGGGCTTTGAGGGAGAGAACCCTGTCCGCCCCAGTCTCAGACACTGTCCCATCCGCTGACATACCCGATTGAAGTCTTTGAAATGGAACTGCTTGAAGATGGCGTCTCGGCCTTCCACCTCGTTCCACCCCACAGCCCTCAGGTTTGGCAGCAGCTGGTCCCTCTCCTCAGCACTTAGCCTGTGCGCTTTGCCAGCCTAGGAGAGGCAACAGAGGCCCACGGGCATTCTTTCTACAGGACCCAGAGGAGGGCCCTGGTCACGAGGGGCATTCAGGCAACCTCTGCGGGTGCTCTGGGGGGGGCACAGCCTAAAGCAACCACAGGGAGTTGTTGACGGTGGCACCCGGCCCTGGAGGTGGGGCCCTGGCTCACATACTGATAGGTTCTTAGGTTTTGACACTTTGCTCAGAGGTCAGAAAATCCTAAGGTGTGATGTAAGTCACTGGGGCTCAGCAACCCCCCAACCCCTGCCCCCAAAGCCCGACAGAGCCCCGCCCCATAGGTTTCTTACGATAATGAGAGTAAAAGCAAAACCAAGCCCAGATGCAAATGTGTTACTACCCAACTTTTCAGAAAGAGTACCCACAACTGTCTAAGCCTCCTTTTCCTGCTGTGGACTGTATCCAGTTCACCCCCACGGCCACCCTGCTACTCAAGGAATCTAGGCCTGGAAAGGGAAAAAGAGCACGGTTCCCCCATACAAACGCACACGCACATCCCCCTCAGCCCGTGAGCACAGGCATCATTCTCAAAGTGGGTCTGAGTCTGCATCCCGGGCCCCCCAGGGAAAGGAGCCAGCACTGACCACACCTTCCAGCTGATTCTTGGCCACACCACCTCTGACACTCCCTGGAACTACCTCCCAGTGGGTGTTCATCATGCCCCCATGCAGCCTCAGTACTAGCTGCCAGGCCTAGGGGTTCCAGATCCCCACCTTCTCTTCTACTCCATCAGCCTGGGGAGCCTGAGCCAGAGCTCAGACCCAAAGTGGAAGTTAACCTGGCTGAGGGCGACTGGCAAACCTAGTGCCTCAGCCTGTTGACCTACTGTGTGTGCAAAGTGCCCTCGAGGCAGCCCAAACCTGCAGGGTATGGGCCAAGAGTGGAACCCTCAGGCACAGAAGGAGGCAAAGGCCGGTTCTGTTCCTGGGGGGGTGGGGGGGGTGGATCCAGACCTAGGCACTGCATCAGGGATCCCAGCACTGAAACTGCTGAAACAGAAACTCCAGAGAGCTGAGGGAAAGTGAGCCACTAAGTGGGGTGGAGGATGGGAGGGAGGTTAATTTAGCTTCACAAGCAGCCCTGGGGGGAGTTGGCAGGGCTGGTTCAGGCCCCAGATCTGCCATTCTCCAGCGAGGTGGCCCTGGGGCACTCACCTCCCTGGGCTCCAGAGCCAGAAGGGACCCAGAACTTCCACTTTCAGATCAGCAAGAGGAGCCAAGGGGACACTTCAGTAAATTCCCCTGTTACTAAGGGGGTGCCATCTGCATCCGTTAAAGGAGACTCCCTGGGGCCGGCTGGCTTGATAGGCCTTGCAGGCCTGGGGTCCAACTGGAAAGCATTGCAGCCTCCTCTAAGTCAATCTTTCCCTCCCTCCTGAAAACACTTGTTTTCTCCTGACTGATCTGGCTTGAGCTTGGCTCTGTGAGATCTGCATCCTGTGCCCAACCCCTGCTCCATTCCAGAGCTGGCTCTTTCTCAGTGGCTGATAAGCCTGGTCAGTGTATCCAGGCAACCTGATAAATGATGTCAGCCCAGGCATCAGAACCCACTGCTTATTAGTTCCCTGGCCCAGAAAGAAGTAGGTGGGTACCGGTGAGCTCCTAGGAGGCACCCCTTGCCCTTGAGAGTCCTCCAGGATCCCCCAAGTTTCACAGCCTGGGGCTGACGTGCCCAGCCCCTCTGAGAGCTGGAATCCCAGCGGGGGAAGGGGCAGTGTTTGCTTAGTAAATCACAGGTCAGGCCTGGCCCGGGCCATCTGGGGGAGTGTGCACTCGCTCGGGTTACTGATTACCCACCCTGCCCTGCATCTTTGGGGCCTCTGCACACCACACAACCAGCCTCTCTCCCCACCTCCTGTCCCTCCAAGCCACAGCTTTCCAAGTGCCTTCTCAGCTGTCACCGCAGTCCTGACTGCTCCTGAGGCTTGGGGACCAGAGACAGGCTGTTTAGAAGAGCCGTCCTGGGTCTAGAGGCTCCCCTCCTCCCCTGCCAGGGCTCCCCTTCACCTCTCCGAGGGTAAGGGTGTTGAAGCAGGGCCCGAGCAGAGGGCCAGGGCCCTCCTGGGGGAGACCCAGCCTGCAGGAGCGCTGACCCCGTGTAATCAGGGCCCCCTGGCTGGGCACAGGCCTCAAGCGAGGCACAGGGGCAGGCTCTGAGGCCCTGGAGCAGCGCCGGGCGCACGGAGCGCGGGCCCGGAGCGCGGGCCCGGTGGGCAGAGGAGCGCAGAACCGACCACCCCGCTACTCACACTCAGACACACAGACGCCCCCCTCCCCTCAACGTGCAAGAGAACCGCCTCGGCGGTTAGGGGGGTGGGGGTGTGTGTCTCCGGGCGCACCAGCTGCCTCTCCACCCCCACCCAAAACCACGCCCCGCGTGCAGCGGCGGGGCGCCCCGGGACGCGGGCGGGAGCAGGGCCAGGCCCGGGCTGCGGCTCGCTGTCACCCGGCCGCGCCACCGCCGCTCTCCCGGGCTCAGCTCGCGCTGGGCCGCCGCCGGGGGCGCGGGGGGCAGCGGGGCGGGGAAACGGCTCCCGGAGCCCGGGGGCGGGCGAGGGGCTCGCAGGGACGCGCCCCCGCGGTCCGGCCCCGCGATCCGGCCCCGCGATCCGGCCCGCGGCCCGCCCTTCCTCCCCCGGACCCCGCGCGCCCCGACCCCTCACCATGGCGGGCGCGGCGCAGGGGCGGACCGGGCGCAGGTGCGGACGCGGCCGAGCGGCAGGTGGCGGCGGGCGGGCGCGGGGGGCCGGGGCGGGGCCGCGAGGAGGGCGGGGCCGCGAGGAGGCGGGGCCGCGAGGAGGGCGGGGCCGCGAGGAGGCGGGGCCGCGAGGAGGCGGGGCCGCGAGGAGGGCGGGGCCGCGAGGAGGGCGGGGCCGCGAGGAGGCGGGGCCGGCCGCGGGGGCGGGGCGGGCCGCGGGGGCGGGGCGGGCCGCGGGGGGCGGGGCCGCGGGGGGCGGGGCCGCGGGGGGCGGGGCCGCGGGGGGCGGGGCCGCGGGGGGCGGGGCCGCGGGGGGCGGGGCCGCGGGGGGCGGGGCCGCGGGGGGCGGGGCCGCGGGGGGCGGGGCCGCGGGGGGCGGGGCCGCGGGGGGCGGGGCCGCGGGGGGCGGGGCCGCGGGGGGCGGGGCCGCGGGGGGCGGGGCCGCGGGGGGCGGGGCCGCGGGGGGCGGGGCCGCGGGGGGCGGGGCCGCGGGGGGCGGGGCGGGGCCGGCCGCGAGGTCCCGCCCACCGGCAATCGCTAACTCGGCCTCTGCCCCTTCCAGCACTTTCTTCCAGGCTCGGTTTCCCGGGAGCTCGGGGCCGGACTTGTGCGTCTGCGCTGCGCTCTGCCGCTCACGGGGCCGTTTCCCCCGGACGCGACATTCCCTCTTTCTTTTTTAAAAGCAGCAGGTTCACGTAGTGGCCTAAGGTGTACAGTTTGATGCCTCTGGCAGTTGTGAGCTCTCGCGCACGCACCGCTGCGATCACGCTCTTACACACCCCGCGTCCCTGCAAGTTCCCTTCCCTCCCGGACGACCCTTCCTCTGCTTCCGGTCACCATGCGTTAGGTTGCATTTCCTAGGATTTTATGTAAATGCAAACCGTACGCCCTTGTGTCTGGCTTCTTAGGACTCAACGTAATTACTTTGAGGTTCGCCCCTGTGGTTGCATGTATCAGTAGTTTCTTCCTTTCTACGGCTAAGTAAGATTTATTCTATAGTGTTACATTGTATCGATATACCACAATTTGTTGATCTGTTCACTTGTTGATGGACATTTTGGGTTGTTTGCAGTTTTTCACTATTACACATAAAGCTGCTGTGCACCTTCCCGTCCAAGTCCATTTAGATGCTTTCCTTTTTCTTGGGTAAATGTCTAGGAGTGGAATGGCTAGGTCATAGGGCAGAGCGTATGTATAACTTGTTTTATTTTTAAAGATTTTATTTATTTATCCATGATAGACATAGAGAGAGAGAGAGAGAGAGAGAGAGAGAGAGAGGCGGAGAAGCAGGCTCCACGCAGGGAGCCCGACGCGGGACTCGATCCCAGGACTCCAGGATCGCGCCCTGGGCCGAAGGCAGGCGCTAAACCTCTGAGCCACCCAGGCTGCCCGGAGTATGTATAACTTGTAAGGAAACTGCCAGGCTGCGTCCCAAAGTGGCTGCACCATTTCATGTCCCCACCAGCAGTGTCTGAGAGTTCCAGGTTCCCTACACACCTCACAGGAGCACCAATATTTGTTATGGTCAGTCTCTTTCACTTCAGTCATTCTAACTGGTGATCTGATTGTAGTTTTCCTTTGAGTTTCCTTAATGGCTAATGATATTGAGCACTTGTTCTGGTGTTTGTCATTGGTAAATCTGATGATTTGCCTTCAAATTTCCTGCCTCCCCCCCCTTTTTGAGTTGTTTGTGTTCTTCCTGGGTTTTGACAGTTCTTTATTCTGGATGTGAGCACTTCATGAAAGAAATAGTTTGCCAGTTTTTTTTTCTTTGTGTTTCACTCGGTCTTTCAAAGAGCAAATAAATGCCCTTAATTTTAATAAAATCCAATTTATCAATTGTTGCTTCTATGGCTTAGTATTTTGGTGTTGCTGCTAAGAAATCTTTGCCTAACCTAATGTCACAAAGATTTTTGTTATGTTTTGTGATGTTTTCTCTTGTGTTTCTTAGTTTTTGGTTTTGCATTTAGGTCTATGATCATTTTTCAGCTAGTTTTCCCTATGCTTGGAGTTATGGATCCAAATTCGCTTTCTGTGTGTGAGTGTTCAATTCTTCCCTTCTCCACTGAATTGCTTTTATACCCTTGTAAAAACTCTGTGGAAGGTATACCTGTGGTTTATTTATAATTGGCCTTAATATGTAGACTCTATCCTGTTCCATTGATCTATTTGTCCATCTTGATGGTAACGCCATACATCTTGATTACTGTAGCTGTGTAAGTCTTGGAGTCATGTAATACAAGTCCTCTAATGTTCAAAAACATTTTTTCCTCATTAACCTTCATCCCTATACTACACTTTTACTCCTCTCCTCCCAATGTGTTACTCTGTGAACTCTAATGTGTTAATATATATTTTTGTTTATGTGTTTTACATGTGCTATTGTTTCACCTGTATGTATTTTTATCTTTTGTAAATGGATCTGTGTGCCCTGTCTCATTCTGTTTCTTTCACCCATTTTTGCTATATGTATCTTTAATCGATAGCTTCCAACTGCTGCTCAGTATTCCATGGTGAGCACCCAGAATGGGTAATCATTCCTCCAGTGTTGGACTCAGGTAGCGTCCAACAACCTGCCACCACCACGACCACTACCCACCCCCTAGCATGTGAGTGTGTAACACACAGAGAACAGAACAACGAAGATGATTTTGCAGTGAGTATCTCTTCCAGCTTAGTAGGTCTCTGGCTTGTGGGCAGTTTCTTAGGCAACTGAAATCTAAATCTATATAAATATGTAAATCTATCTATCTATCTATCTATCTATCTATCTATCTATCTATTATCTATCTATCTCTTCTATAAACCCAGTAATTCCCTCATGGGTATATATCCCAAATAGTTTCAGATGCTGTGGATAGTGGCTGTGTTGGTCCTTATGTCACGTGCATCATGTGAGGAAGGGTTCCTGTTCCCCTACATTACTTGCACATAATACTCACACTTGGCATTATCTAGCTTTTTAATTTTTGCCAAGTTAACAGGCATAATGATAGCTCACTGTTTTACTTTGCGTTTTCGGATTACTAATGATTCTGAGCACCTCTTCATATGCTTATTAGCACTTGGGGCTTATTGCTTGTAAAGTGCCTTTTAATCTTCCTTTTTTTTTTGTTTTTTAAGAATTCACAGTATTCTCTTTTTTAGTTGATTTGCAGGAGTTTATATCTAGATGTTAATTGCTTGTCCATTTTCGATATCGCAAATATATTCTACCATTTGGCCATCTGTAAACTAACTTCACATAAAAGGAGAGCTTTCACATTTAGGTCTTACATTTATCTAATCATAAAGTTAACTGAAGAAAAGGAAGAATATTGTCATGGTAGGGAAATTATCAGATAAATCTTCAAAAGCACAAAGTTATAAGGCAGAGAAAAAAAAGAGATAAGCCAGTATCCCGACATATAAAATTTCTACCAACAAAGGACACTGTGGAAGAAATGAGTAAACATTCAGGGCAGTGGATGAATCCCAAACGTGTTACACTAAGTGACAGCAGCTCAAATGTCTACTTTCTATAATATTATCCCATTATATAACATTCTGAAAAATACACTAGGCAAAGATTCATGGTTGACTGTGAGGGGCTGCGGGGGTGGTGGGATCAGACTACTGAGGGGCACAAGGAAACTTTTTTTGGGAGGTAATTAAGATATTTTATATTTTGATTGTGGTGTGATCAAATGACTGGATGCCTTTGCCAAAAAGTATGAATAGGTAAATTATATCTCAGTAAACTTAGATTTAAAAAAATGGATCTAGAGTGTGAAATGTCAGGACAATCATTTCCCAATGAAGTTAGTGTCAGAAAAATTGTAAGTGGGCTTCTGGTAATGTTTTCTTTCTGACTGTGTATTGGGTATGTGGGTATGTCAGCCAGGGAAAATTCTTCAAGCTCTACCTCTATGAGTTATGAACTATTTTATATATGTGTTATATTTTAATTTTAAAAATTTTTAAAAAAGCAACAGTGAAGAAATTATTGGAAAAAAAGAGGACTAAGGAAGATTGTCTCTTGAAGTCACCTGGAAGAGAGAAGGGGTACCTATTGAGCATGTGCTGAGCTTGCTAGCTCCTTGTGATAACACTGAAAAAAGAGGGAATAGTGAGCTGATTGGTTCTTTTTTTCTTTTTATTTTTTTTTAAGCAATCTCTCCACCCATTGTGGGGCTTGAACTCATGATTCCAAGATCAAGAGTTGCATGCACTACCAAATGAGCCAGCCAGGTGCTCTGACCTGTTTGGTTTTTGCGCAGAGTTTAGAGAAAACAGAGAGGGCCCAGCACAGCTTTTTCAGCTAGCCAAAGATTTTCAAACTAAGAAATGACTTCACTGTAAAAATCAAGTCAGGGGTGCAGTTTTAAGACTCTTTGTCACGACCTTAGAGAGATTTAAGGCTGTGTGTCATACTTTCAGATAGACAACAGGTCTTCTAGAAGAATCTTTAGGATATGACTCTTAGACCAACTTTTCCAATCAGGAAGGCTGTTAAAAATCCTGAGGACATGGTTATGCAGTGCCCTGACTCACAACCCAAGGTAGAGCAGGGCCTCTCTGAAGGAGATTTGTGGCTGGAAGTTTTGTCTACTATAATAAACCTCCATAACATTCATAAGAACCTCACACAATTTTTTAGAGTATTGTATTGGTAATAGCACTACCCACTCAGACTGAAAAAGATAGAGACAATTGAAAAGGAAAAGTCCTCGAGGAGTGGGATTCAGACTGAAAAAGCTACTGTATTTCAAATAGGAGCATTTCTTATGAGAACTTAGTGTCCTAAGCCAAGAGCTATGGAAGACTGACTCCCTGGGGCAGGACTGGACTGCCCGGGGGCAGGACGATCCAGGATCTTATTATGATCATGCCCTGCTGGATTTCAGAATGGCTAAGGCCCACTGACTACTTCATGCCTCCTTCTCCTTCCCATTTTTTGAGCAGGAATGTTTATCCAGCCATCCACATGTTGAGTGCGGAGGGTTAAGAGCAATGTCCTGGTAAAAGTGAAAATGCCTTGTCATCTTCCTGTTGGAAGTGTCACACATCCCTTGCAGCCCCTT